AAAATATAAAAGTCAGAGTATTCATAGAGTTTTAAATCACAGCCGCAGAAAGAATAAAGCCTCTTTGTTTCACGTTATGGACACCAGAATTGTTTTCTGGTGTTGTTATTATTTTTTAAACAGAGGTCTTATGTTGTACTGTGTGTGCTACCTGCTAATTTACATGTGCACTGAGAGGAAGACAAACAGTAAGTGCGACAGGCAGATTTTTAACCCTTCTTTTGTGTTATATTTTGTGCCATTAATTTAAAATCAGGAATGAGATGAAAAGAACCAATATTTCATAGATGCTCAACACGATCTAAGGAGCCCTGGAGGCGCAGCGGTTAAGTGGTTGGCTGTTAACCACAACGACACCGGCTGCTTGCTAGGAGCAAGATGTGATCATTTTACCCGTAAAGTGTACAGCCTGGAAAACCCTACTGAGAGGTTCTACCTTCAAACTGTGAGCCAGTGTGAGGGAAGTTTTGAGAAAGGAGAGCCTTTAGGCACTGAGACTGTGGATAATATCATCTGTAAAACCTCAGAGCGGTTTGCTCAGCTCTCACCAGGCATCCAAATGTCCAGAAATTGGGCAGATGTTCTTGGTGTGTTGATGCCCAAGAATACAATGACTTACCTGCTGCAGCCTCTTTGTTGGGAAATAACTTGTTGTCAACTGCTACACTGATGTCATAGAACACCTCATCCTCCTCTCGATCAGCATCAAACTGGGGGAAAGAGAAGTTTGCAATATGAGAATCCATAAGTTAGTTCATTCCAAAGTATACCCAGCATGCTTTGCACACTTGCAGCTCTAGTAACTCAGGAGAGAAAAATTTAAGCAGTTAATTCTGTAACCAGGCATTTGAAGTGTTGGTTGTTTTTTTTAATCCAAACCTCACTTCAAAGAGAGAAAGGTATTAAAGAATAAGCACACAGTCCCTGATGGAAAAGGACATGCATAGTGTGGCTCATTTTACAAGCCGATCGATGATTCCACTGAAAGGTGACCTCTGGGAGTGGCCTCAGTGCCACCTTCAAAGAGAATTCTCGTTGTAAGCTCAGGGGTTCCAGTTTCTGTCAGTCTAGTAGGTCTGGCCTTTTCTAGGAATTCGAGTTTTGTTCTACATTTTTCTCCCATTCTCTTCCACGTATGAGAAATTAAATTTTGAACTCTGGGCTTTGGGGAAGCTACAGTTTACAGTAAAAGCTTTAAATCCATTTCTGAGTCTCCACACAGATTCAGCTTCCACTGAATTCTTTCTGACCATTAAGCAGCAATGCGCAGAGTGCGTTAGAAAGTTGGTTGCTATCACTCCCCTAGCCAGCCTAGGGTGCGCAACCCTTAGGAACTTGCCTTGGTGTGCTTTTGTGGAACATGGGACACGGGGGCCTGCACAAGCATAAGGAATATCTTGACTCACTTCGTCAGAGAGCCCTGAACCATTGTTGTAAGCTTTCTATCTGTAATAGTGTACGGATCCCAATCCTAGACGCTTTCCTGATTCTGTAGTCCCCCTGGCAACTGTGGTGTATTAACCTGCTACCAGTCATGCTCTGTGACAGCTGCACTTACAGTCTAAGTGCCTACATATCTGTAAGTCTTTGGACAGCACAATGGCCTCG